TACCTGTATGGAGCTAGATTTAAGGTATTCAGTGACCATAAGAGCTTGAAACATCTGTTTGATCAGAAGGAGATGGATGAAATTCATCAAAAACTATGACTTCCAGTTGATGTATCATCCAGGAAAGGCCAATGTAGTGGCAGATGCTCTCAGCAGAAAGACAATTGGAATGTTTGCATTGATGATTAAGGAATTGAATTTGATAGAGAGCTTCAGAGATCTAAATCTCAACTTTGAAATTTCACCAGTTAGTACCAGCTGTGGGGTGATGACTATCACTAGTGACTTCTTGGAAATCATTAAAGAAGGTCAGATGAAGGATCCTAGCCTTCTGCAGATTAGAAACTCTTTGGGTACAGAAAAAGCAAAGGAGTTTGTCTTGAGAACAAATGGTGTGCTTAGGTTCAAGGACAGAGTTTGTATTCCTGCAGGAGATGAATTGAGAGGAACAATTCTGGAGGAAGGGCACAAAAGTAAGTTGAGTATACACCCTGAAGTGACTAAGATGTATCAAAATTTGAAGGAGACCTTCTAGTGGCCTAGGATGAAGCAGGATATAGCCTGGTATGTTACTAGCTGCTTAACATGTCAGAAGGCCAAGGTAGAGCATTAGAGACCGGGTGGAATGCTACAGCCACTAGAGTTACCTGAGTGGAAGTGGGACAACATATCTATGAATTTTATTACCCACCTACCCAGGACGGTTAGAGGACATGACTCCATCTGGGTCATTGTAGACAGATTGACTAAGTGTGCCCACTTCCTGCCGGTCAATCTAAGAATGTCTATGGACAAATTGGCTCAGTTGTACATCAAGGAAGTGGTGAGGTTACACGCGGTACCCTCAAGCATTGTGTCAGACAGAGACACAAGGTTTACCTTACGGTTCTGGCAAACCTTAAAAGCAGCATTAGGAACCAGACTGAGACTTAGTATCGCCTACCACCCCAGACAGACGGGCAGTCTGACAGAACCATTCAAAGCCTAGATGATATGTTGAGAGCTTGTGTGTCGGATCATATAAGGCTTGGAATGAAGTACTTTCCTTAGCAGAATTCACATACAATAATAGTTTCCATGCCAGTATTGGAATGACACCTTTGAGATTTTGTACGGGAGGAAGTGTAGGACCCATTTGTGTTGGTATCAGGGTGGTGAGAAATTCTTGGTTGGGCTAGAGTTAATGCAGCAGACTACAGTCAAAGTGAGGTTAGTGCAGAGCAGAATGAAGATTGCACAGAGCAGCCAAAAGTCTTATGCGGACAGGAGGAGGAGACCCTTGGAGTTCTCAACTGGTGATCATGTTTTTCTCAGAGTGGTACCTATGACTGGAGTTGGAAGAGTCATAAAACCCAAGAAGCTAACCTCAAAATTTATTGGACCCTGTCAGATTACCAGGCATATTAGACCAGTAGCTTATGAGATTGCCCTTCCCCCTCCCTTGGCAAGGCTGCACCCTGTATTCCACGTATCTCAATTGAGGAAATACGTGTCTGACCCGAGCCACATTTTGGAAGCTGATGAAATCCAAGTGAGAGAAGATCTGTCTTTTGAAGACACTTCATTGAGAGTAGAGGACTCACAACTCATGCAGCTTAAAGGTAAAACCATTAGAGTGGTCAAGGTGGTATGGAATACCAAGTTGAGTGACTGCACATGGGAACTAGAGGAGGAGATGCGGAAGAACTATCTGCAACTGTTTTCCTGGTAAGTATAATTTTTTAGGACGAAAATTTTAAATTTGTTGGAGAGTATTGGAATATACTTTAATTAAAAGAAGAAAATTAAAAGAGGAAGAGAGAAAAAACCAGTTTCCCTTCTCCCTCGTGAAAAAAAAACCTCCCCCTCTCCATAACTCACCTCCACCTTCTCTCCTGCAGATCAGGACATTCTTCTTCCCCAATCAAGAATCTGAGGTCACTGTTGTGCTCATAGCAGAAGACCCACCGATTAGAATTTCGTTTTGGTAAGTTTGAACTTTAGGGTTTTGCGAGTTAAAATTTGGGGTTTTGAGAATTTAATGAATTATTTGTGGAATTAAAATGTTTCCTCTTACTCCGTCACTCCCCATTTTTATGTTCTCAAGGTTAATTCTGTTTCTCGCTTCAATCTCATTTTTAGGGTTTTCTAAATTAGGGGAGAATGATACTTCTTAGGTGTTTTGGCATTTCTAAGACTTTGTTGGAGTTAGGTTGACGTCTAGCATCACCCACGGGTAGGGGAAGCTTTTTTAATTTTTACTTGTGTTGAAACTTTTTACTTGTATGTGATATGATATTGTGAGCACTTGTGGAAAACCTTGATGTATAAACTGTTTTGAAATAGATTGACTGAAATAGATATCTTTGTATCATTGAGTTTCTAAACTGTATGGTTAGTTTGAAGGAAAAAAGATGTACCGTTTTAAGTGAATTGTGATTACATAGGAGTTGAGAATTTTAATGTTGGGCTAGACATAGTGAACTGCATGATATTTGTTTGATTGTGGAAATTCTGAATTGTACTAGTTGTGTTCTGCTGAAATACTGCATCTGCATAATCTAACTTTGCAGGGTGTAATCGATTACAATGATATGGTAATCGATTACTGACGAGGGAATTAGAAATCCAATTTCTCTCTGGTAATCGATTACCAGACCAGTTGTAATTTATTACACTGATAGCAGGTCACCCCCAGTTGGTTTATTGATGTTCTGTTGCATCCTTTGACTATTCTATGTTGAGTATGAGTTAATAATGAAATGTGAAGGACACTAAGACCTGATAATGTGAGAATACTAGTTGTAAGACCCAAAGGAAAACTATGATGTTGATGAATGATAGACTTGATGTACTATGTAGAATAATATGCATGAAATTATTTATAGGCGTAATAGGGCATCCAGACATCCAAGATGTTCCTAGTCATATAGACGAAGACATCTGTGGTGGGAAGTCGATGGAGACATAGCATAGCGTCAATCCTATGCGTGTGTTACTCTGATGAGAGGTTGGAAAAAAGATATTATAGGCCTGAGGTCATAAAAATTTAAGGGTCTGGGACCCTAAATATTTCTTATTAGGTGTATGCCTTACTGGTCTGAATTCCATATAATTTTCTGGAAAGCGTCAGTCTTGTTGTGTGGTTGTGATTGTAGGATGCTAGACTCTCCAGTGAGTCTAGCCTTAAGATGTTTGTGAATGAATAAGTGTCGCTTGCAATCTTACATTGTTCTACATGTTTAATCAAATGGTAGTTTACCCTTACTTTTGTTGTGTGCTTGATCTTTTGGGATCCTGCTATGATCGTGTTATACACGTGAACAGATTCTAAATCTTCTGCAGGTAGTAGTAAGACCCAGTGATTCGATAAATGAAGTAGAAACCTCCTAAATTTGAAGGAGTTATTTTGTGTTATGTAATTTTATGTAAAATATTAGTGTAATTATGACTTTTGATGTGTGATGTTTTTCAACTATTGTGGATAACTCGTAAACTCGAACTATTATACCTCTCATAGGTGAAAACGTTTTTTCCTTCCTTCCTTTAGTGAATATTTTAAGTAGAGTTTGCGGATTATTACAAAATTCAACTTAATTTTTTTTATATATATTTTAACATAAATATTAAACATTATAAAATATTAAAATAACTAACTAATTAATAATAAATAATACTGAAATCAATACTTTTAATATTATTTTACGCACAATAATTTTTATATATCTATTAAGAATGTGAACTCCTATGTAGTAATGTTATAATAATGAAAAAAAAATTGTTTATTTTAAAAATAGTGAAAGTTAAAAAGAAAAAATGTACAATTTTTATACTGTAAAATAAAATTATGAAAGAGAAAAATATGCAAGTAAAAGAATAATAAAAAAAATAAGAAAGTAAAAAAATAAATATTTAAAATTAAAGCATAAAATGTGAAAAGGGGAAGAAAATAAATATAAAAATAAAAAATGAGAGAGAAAAAAAGAAAAAAAGTTTATATAAAAAATTAATTATAATAATTATTATTATCATTTATAAAAAATATAATAATTAATTTTTTATATTTTAAAAATAATTTTATTTAATTTTAAATTCTTATAATTATATATTAAAAAAATCAAAAATGGGTTCACGTCCACTCGCTTTGTCGTTTAGAGTGTTGCATTTCGTTACGTGGCTACATAGGTTGTATATGTAACAATGCGATCGTGTTTTTGCAATACAACGTAAGCCGTAAGTTCAAAGTAACATGGTCATACATCTATTGTACATGGATAAATGATCTAATATTGATCCTATATCGAGTAGATAAGTTTATCACTATTTAGTGTCTTGTAACTCTTGACTGTGATATTATCGTAGAAACGATGAGATACTTAACTCATCTTTACAAAATCGGTTCATATTGTATTTATCTTTATATTATAATATTATCATATCTCTAAATTTTCTAAATATTTTTCATAAATAAAAAATCACAAATCAATCAATATAAAAAAAATATACAAAAATAATTATAAATCCACTTCCAAAGTAAACTTCTTAATTTCTATAATATCTATGATGATTTTTTATTATTTAAAAAGGTAAATGTTGATATTAACAACGACTTATTCTTATACTTTTATCAACATATGCAAAAACCATACATATATTAATAATATAAAAAAATACGTTGTCATTTAATCACAAATTATTACATGTACAAATTGTTAATTTTTACAGTAATTATGCCAATGATATTTTTAGAGGTCGACAATGTATGTCAACTAAACCTTAAAATCTTACCAAGGCAGACACATATTTCCTGTTCGTGCACTAAACACCCAATAGAAATGTATCATTGAATAAGTTTACACCCCACTCGAAGCTATTGACTACAAAAATCACACAACACTATTTGACTCGATGACAAACCAAAATCTATAAATATTATTTATCCTATAACATCTTTTTTATAACTTTCTACAATAGTTTTTGATCTTGCTTCTTATTGTAAGATTACAAATCATACAATTTAGTCTTCTCATTATATCTCACGAACCTTCTTGTACGTCTTTAAAGCATTAATACAAATTTTGTATAGTTGGTTTCCTCAATGCATCAATCTCATATCTTCTACTATCATATACGAAGGATTTCTGACTATGATACTTGATAAGAAACCCGGCTTGCTCAGTGCTCTCTGCTACATTGGGAAGAGAGGTCTGTGTTCAAAAAGCTATGGAGTGCAAGTGCATTCTTCCCATCCGCACCGCAGATGTAAAATACGGATCATACAGAGCAGTCTTATGCAGTAGAAAAACGACAATTATTCCCATCCTCCTTACTTCTGATCAGGAATGTTGGATTGCGAAAATTCGACTGGTGTGACGGTGCCGTCGAGGCCTACACAGCTACGTTCTGGTAACGGGTACAAGGAGACACAGGTTTTATGATAATTTTTCTACCTCATGGTACCATGATCCTTTGCAGTCACTTTCACTAGGCATAGCTTCCATCACTCCATATGAAATAGCCAGTAAATTGAATTTCATAGACCCTGGATTGCAACGCGTGACTATTCAACAGTAATACAAGGACAACTGAGTAATGGATCATCATTGTGTGTGTGTACAAGGTCGTGTACATAATAACCATATTCAAATTTTTCATGCCAAAATAAAATAATAAAAATCTTCCACTTGAATAACTGTTTAGGGTCTCCTCACCAGTAGTCTTAAATTTAGTAACAGGGGTTCCTTAATATAGATTTATTTATGGAACGCATCTCTAAAAAGCAACACAGACAGCGAGTAACAGCGCTGCCTCGAGATCCAAAATGGATGAGATCGCATGTTATGGACATCATTTATCTCAATTTTCATCATATCTTTCCTATGCTCTTTTCAAAAAAGGGGTGGTGCTTGGAAGTTGTCCAAACTTAATAAGCCACCTCACATCCAAAGCTAACAGAACTATGGAAGATTACAGAATTTCGCCAAAATTTATATCATTATTGAAAAAAGAAAAAACTTCATGGTTGAAGACACCTTTGACCTCAATATGAAATCAGTAACAACGGTATTTCATTAATTATTACGAAACTCTACAACAGTTCATGTATTTAGAGAGAAGGGTAAATATCCAGTCAGACACCCCGTAACATCTAAGAGGCACCAACCCTATCTCGCGGAATCAGGCGCAATTCTGATCCATGCTTAAGGAAGACATTGCCTGAAGAAATGAAATATGCAGCAAGTCAATGATCGATAACAACTATAATACAATTTTATTCGATGTTGTGTTATAAGTGTGACCTTTCTATAGAAACCCATGATTGAGAGACTACAAAAAATGGGAATTAAGCAATCTCAACATAACCATTTCAAATATATCATTAAATTTAATCAGAATAATACCATCACGAAAGTTTGGGGGACATTTTCTTATTTATCCTTGTGTAGTAACTTTTTAAGAAGAAAATTGTGGCAGTAAACTATTATTTTTAGGAAATATGATCCTTCAAACACAGTGGAAAGTTAAAGACACAGATGATAAAGCATTCCTTACCTGCACTCTGCTGGGGATTTATGCCAACACCATCTGTATGCATTCAAAGCAATGAATATGAGTTTGCAAATTTAAGATGAATATTACTAAAACAAGATAGGCTATCATAATAACGAACAGTATCACAGTTTTAGTAGTGCAAAAGCAAATGCCAAAGACACTATATGATTGGAGCCCAAGTCAGTTCAATAATAATATGTCAACAAGCCAAATTAAACCTCAATCCATTGAACTTTCTACTTTTTGGAAAGGGAAAAATCTCATTTGCACTGTAATTCAGGGGAAAAAACAGCTGAGTTTATTGAAGATACAGAGATCAGATATCTGGTCACTATGTTGTCACTATGAATCAGGTTAACTTTGAATATGTTTACCTCCAACTTACCAAGAAAATATAATAAAACCTAAATACTACACGATTCAATCAATTCTAATTCAAATAACACAGCAAAAAGTAAAGTAATAGAGCTACCAACTAAATTCCGACACCAAAAGTTAGAATATTATATAGATTACGAATTACGTAGTAAGATCACAAATTTCAAAGGGTCTATTAGTAACAATTCCATAAATAACTGTAATAAATGTCTAAAAAAAAAAGAAAGGGAAACAACATTAAATATGTGGTTAACACAAAAGTCAGACACTACTTAGCTTGAGAAGGAGACAACACTTAAGAGTGAAGAAAACAAGGTATGATATAAGGCCAATATTTTGAGGCTGAGATATAAAAAGTTTTCAGCTGCATTCGAAAGACAATTTCATTCCCTCAATTCCTCCCTTACTATATTATGAATAAATACAAAATTGTCTTCAAAAGTAGCATCCTTTGTTGATTTAGCATCTTAAATTTTGCATGTATACAATAATTTATTTCTCAAATTTCTCAACTTAAAGATAAAGTAATCTTCTTTCGTGAAGTTGACCACGTTTGAGGATTAAATTTGTCATAAAATAAGCAGATTCGGGAATTACATAATTATATAGTGCAAAATTTTCAAGGACCAAATCACGAATTGCCATTTTCCAGATCAAAATTGCATATTTAGTTAGGATGTATACAGTACAAATTAGCTCCAAAAATTTCATAACAAATCAGTTCTTCCTTTATGAAGTCGACCAAATTCGAGGACTAAATTTGCGATGACATTGGTAGACTATGGAATTAAGTTATAAACACACAAATTTTCAAGGGCAAAAAAAAATGAACATAGGTTGCCATGTTTAAAGACAAAATTGTATATTGAGACGCATAAATTGTTCTCTCTTTTTTACTTTGTGTCATATATATTTGTTGATACAAATAAACTGAAAAGAAAAAATAAAGTACATAGAATGTGATACATACACTTATACAATAATTAACTTAAATCAAAAATATTTTCTTAATCCAAAAACAGGCTCGAGTGTGGCAAAGTTTGTAATCCCCCAAAGGCTGAAAAAGCTATAAGGAAGGAAAAGAAATATATATTAGTGAAAGGCACCCACCATGTATTCAAATTTTCACCACCAGACGACGAAAACATGATTTTCAAATCGTATGAAACCCTAAATATCCTAAAACTCGCAACAACGACATCACTGGCTGATCCAAAAACAATAATCAATCTGACTCAAGATATTTAATTACCGTTGGTAATGATAGCGCTGGTCTGAGGCGGGACTTTGAATTCTTCCGCGGCGAATTTGAGAACTGCAGTAAAAGGTGCAGCCTCAGGAACGCTAAACCTGAAATAAATAAAGAAAATCGAGATTAGGGAAAAAATAATTTGGGGAAAATTGTTGAGAATTGAGAACTATATGAGACAGATAGATATATACACTTTGAAGGGTAGCTTTGGATCGGAGGTCAGTGTGACTTTGAAGGAAACCTTTCCACCGCCCGCCATTTTCCCACTTCCAACGATCTGCCAAATTCCCCTGTACTAACAACACCGTTCTGCAACCTTGTGATATACTTCTGCGTAGTTCTCACGCACTGTCGTTTCATTTAAAACGACGTACTAAGGCTAAAACGGTGACGGACCCATATTCTAAATAAATGCTTTTTTAAACAATTATTACATTTTCAATTACTCAAATTTAAGAAAATTGTTTATCAGATAATTTTATATATTTTTACAAAATTAATTCAAATATTTGATATATATATATATATATATATATATATTTTTTTTTTTTCAATGAATAATATACTCATAAATCTCAAATCAAATAATTTATATACATACTTTTTCTTTAATCTATAAACACTTTAAAAAAAAATCGTGTTACAAAATCATCAAAGTTTGTAATAATTAATTGATAGTATTTAGTTACATATTTAGTTGTTTAAAATATAAATATAATAAACAGAACCAGTATCTGCCATGTGTAGAATTGCAATGCTCTTCTGAATGTAGCCTTTCAAATCATTTTCCAGCTCTATACAGTGATTATAATGTACTTTTCGAATGAAATGTTTTTACATTAATATACCTATATAACAAAATATTTTAAAACTGATAAGTTTAACTTGTGGATATTCATATTTATAAATACGAATAAAAATCATTAAGATAAACAACTTGATTTATGTATTTTTATTTAAACCTTGAGTTAAAATATATAATTATTATTTGACTACGTACTTTTCAATTGGATGTTTTTCAAAACTTTTCTTAAGTATATTATTGTATGAATATTTAGAAAATAAATTAAAAGTCAAAGAAATTACTTGGTTTATACTATTTTATTAATAAAATTACGTTTGTGAATATTTTTTTAGAAAATTATAATCGGTAAAAAATATTTTAGTAGTAGTTTGTAAATACTTATTTTATTTACCATTATGTATATTGTTGATTATTGATAAAAAAAAAAAAGTAAATTTCCGAGAAAAAAGTTGATAAAAATACAAATTAATTTAATAGAATAATTAGTTAAAATGATAATTTGATTTATGGTTCATAAAATTAAGGAAAATGTATAAAATACATATAAAAAAAGTTATATTACCCTTGAAAACAAATATATAAGATTGTTATAGTGTTATGGGCCCAAACCCAATTAGCTAAGCCACAATTAAGTTCTGATAATTTTTCTACACACATCTCCCACAACACTGGAGGGAAAATATCACTTGCCAAAGCCACAAACACAACCTCTCTTATTGGATCAAGAGGGGATGCGTCTATAAATATATGATTTTTTTCTCAGTTAAAAAACACTGGTTTTAATTTTCTTTCTTCTTTTATTTCTCCTTTTTATCGTCACTATTTCTCCCTATTTCATCCCAACTAAACATAGCATTATAGTTTATCCAACGTATATGGGTCTAAAATGAATTAGATGATGAAACATTCTGAATTAAAATATTATTGATCATAAAGTTACTTTATTTAAATTTTCTTTGAAATATTATTGATCTTAATTAAGACTTTATTAATTTTAAATTTTGAAACATTTTTTGCTAGAGTAATGGTTACTGGAAATGTGTTTTTTTTTTTTCAGTTTTTAATCATGTGTTGCAAGCTTTTTACAAGGCGAAGTAAAAATAAATATAATATATGAATATTATGTTGGGACCTTTCGCAAAGTTAAAATGCAGAAGAAGCAAATTGTACTCTCTTTTTTAGTAAAGAAGAAGTTTGGCTATTTTATAGCCTTACATATGAGAAATGACAAACAAAAAGAAATTGCTTATGCGCATAAACCGCACGACTCTGCATCTAATATTGCGGTTGAATTATTCAAAGCTAACTAACTGAACTTAAAATGTGGAAACACTAACAAATCCTCCCGTAAACTGAATGCTCGCAGTCAGTTTATATCAGATTCAGCACATACTCCTAGTGACTTTCGTTGATTCAAAAAAGTATCAAGTTTGGGGGGTTTGGTCATAATATCAGCCATTTGTTCTTGTGTCCCACAATGTATTAGCTTGATAGTTCCAGTCCTTGTAAGGTTCCGAAGGAAATGGAATCGGACATCAATATGTTTACAGCGACCATGCATTACTAGATTCTTTGATGACTTAATAGCGAGCTATTATCACAATGAATTACGATAGTTTGGCTTTGCATTGTACACAATTTTTCCAACACCCTTTGAAGCCAAATGGCTTGACAAGCACATGATGCGGCACCTATAAATTCTCGCCTCGATAGTTGATAGACTCACAATTGGTTGTTTCTTTGATGACTAAGAAACAGCGATTCGAACATAATAAGAACACATAACCCGAAGTACTTTTTCGTCATCCAAGTCCCCTGCATAATCACTGTCAGTGTAAGCAAGAAGTTCATCATTTCCTCCCTTTTTGTAGAAAATACCGAGCTCAATTGTTCCTTTTAAATATCTCAACACTCTTTTAGCTGCCAGTAAATATAGCTCAGTAGGATTCTCCATGTACCTGTTAATTAAGCTTATCACAAACATCATATCGGGACGAGTGGAGGTTAAATACATAAGACTTCCCACAATTTGTTTGTAATAAGTCTTATTCACCTTTACACCAGTGTCATCCTTTGTGAGTTTAGTACCAGGAACAATTGGGTTTTGAACCGCATTGCTTTTATCCATTCCAAACCGTTGTAGCATTGCTAAAGCATATTTCTTTTGACATAAGAAAATGCCATCTGTTCGTTGCATAACTTCAAGACCCAAAAAATATCTCATTTTACCAAGATCTGTCATGGCAAATTCATGTTTCATGGAGCTTTTGAATTTTGCAAACATCAACTCATCATTGCCTGTAAAGATAAGGTCATCAACATACAAGCTAACAATTAATACTGTGCCTTCTTTTTCTTTCTTCACGAATAGAGTATACTCGTAGTCACACTTCTCAAATCCTTCCTTCAAAAAATATGCTTCTATGCAGCTATACCAAGCACGTGGTGCTTGCTTAAGTCCGTAAAGAGCTTTCTTCAGCTTATACACTTTATGCTCAACCCCTTTTTGTTCATAACCACAAGGTTGGTCGACATATACTGTTTCCTCTAAGTCTCCATGTAAAAAGGCAGATTTCACATCTAGTTGATAGAGTGTCCATCCCTTTTGAGCTGCAAGGGCTACCACCAAGCGAATGGTCTCCATGCGAGCTATCGGTGCAAATACTTCAGTGTAGTCTACCCCATACTCTTATGCATACCCTTTCACTTACAAGTCCGGCTTTATATTTATCCACCTCACCATTCTCTTTGAATTTGGTTTTATAAAGCCACTTTACACCAACCTTCTTGGCACCGATCGAGTAAGTCCACCAAGTCCCATGTATCATTTCTTTTTATTGCTTCCATCTCCTCATCCATGGCTTTCCGCCATTTTGGAATTTGTACAGACAATAGCAAAGTGTGTGGGATCATTGTCACTAACTGCAGAGAGAGCCATATTTGCTTCTGGACTGTCTTCAAAAAATTCTGCACCAGTTTCGTAGTCTGTCATCCAGAGAGGTGGTCGTCGAGATCGTTGCAGAGCAGGACTAGGTTCTGCTTCATTTTCTTCTGTATCAAGATCATGATGTGCCTGTGCTGCATCAGGCGCTGTGTTTTCAACAACATGTTCTTCATCAACAACATCTTCTGTATCAAGATCATGATGGGCCTGTGCTGCATCAGGCGTTGTGTCTTCAACAACATGTTCTTTATCTCCCCATTCTAAATCACATGAGATGGCTGCAGCATATTGTTTATCCCAATCCCAGCTTTTATCTTCTTCAAAGATAACGTCTCTGCTGATGATGATTTTTTTTGAAATCGGATTATATAGTTTGTAAGCTTTTGAGACTTCACTGATTCCCAACAACACACAACTGAGACTTTTATCATCTAACTTGGTACGTGTAGCATCTGGCACATGAACATGTGAAATGCAGCCAAAGATGCGAAAGTACTTGACTGAAGGTTTGACTCCACTCCATGCCTCTTCGGGAGTTTGATTTCTCACTACTAAAGTGGGACAACGATTTAAGATATGCACAGACCATGCAGCAGCTTCAGCCCAAAAAGTTTTGGGCATCTTCTTCTCTGATAGCCTGCTTCGAACCATGTTCATAATGGTCCGGTTCTTGCGTTCTGCGATCCCATTCTGCTGTGGAGTGTATGCGGCTGTCAGTTGTCTACGAATACCATTGTCAGAGCAGAATTTGGTGAAGTCTTGAGAGGTAAATTCTCCCCCACGATCAGTGCGCAGTCCTTTGATGCAAGACTTAACTTCTTTTTCAACATGAATTTTAAAATTCTTGAATACAGAAAAGGCTTCAGACTTTTCGGTCAAAAAGTATATCCAAGTTTTTCTACTAAAGTCATCAATGAAGGTGAGCAAATACCGCTTTTTGCTATTGGAGATAGGTGTAATTGGTCCACAAATATCTGCATGAATTAGCTGCAGAATCTGTGTAGCCCGCCAAGCACTCCTTTTGGGAAATGAATCACGTGACTGCTTCCCAATTAAACAGGTCTTGCATAGTTTGGTAGATGCCTTGATTAGTGGTAAACCATATACCATATTCTGCTGATAAAGTGTGTTTAGACCCCGGAAACTTAAATGACCATATCGACTATGCCAAAGATGCATGGTGTCCTCTGCTGCTGTATGGAAGCAAGTGGTTTTGGTAGGGGAAGAAATGGCATGTAGTAGGAACATTCTGTTGGAAGACATGTGGGTTTCCATGAGTAAACCATTTTCTGGATGATACACTTTGCACTTGTTGTGTTGGAAGAGGATGTTGAGGCCCTTTTCTTGTAATTGCCCGAGACTGAGTAGGTTATTTCTTAAGTCGGGCACGAAGAAGACACTGGTAACTGTATAGGTGTTGCCATGCATGTGAAGTCGAACGTTGCCTTTACCCGTGACAGCCATACTGGAGTTATTTCCCAGTTTGACTGTATCTTTGTAATGTTCATCAAGATCTGAGAAGTATTCCTTCCTCCCACACATGTGATTGCTGCATCCAGAATCAATGAACCACACAGTATCTTCATTTGTCTTGATTGTCTCTGTGTGAGCCATCAACAACATTTCTTCATCATTCTCAACATAGTTGGCTTCGCTTCGTTGGGTTGGACATTCCCAACTGAAATGTCCAAGTTGATGACACGTGTAGCATTCCACTGTGGATTTGTCAAAACTTTGTCGACCTCGCCCACGGCCTCGTCCTCTTCCGCGTCGTCCAAAACTTCCTCCACGCCCTCCATGTCCTCGGCCCTGGGCTGCCTGGTGACCTGCATGGGAAACTTGCAGGGCCTGTTCATCTTCCACATGAGATGACATTCGGAGCTCATGTAAGAGGAGACTGCTTTGAAGTTCATCAATAGTCAATGTCTCAGTATCCTTAGATTCCTCAATGGAACACACAACATAATCAAATTTAGGAGTCATGGATCTTAAAATTTTCTCAACAACTGCAACATCACCCTTGTTTTCACCATTAGCCTTCATCTTGTTGGCTATGGTGAGTGTCCTGCCAAAGTAATCATTAACAGATTCTCCCTACTTCATGTGGAGAATTTCAAATTCTCTTCGGAGAGCTTGTAACTGTGCTCGCTTGACTCTTGAAGTGCCATGGTACTTCTGCTTTAGTGAGTCCCATATATTCTTTGCGATATCTTTGTTGAGGATTGTTTCCAAAACTGAACGATCCAGTGCTTGAAATAGGTAATTCTTTGCCTTCAAATCCTTTAATTTCTGATCATCAACATGTTTCCTCTGTACTTCGGTAAGAGGTGTGTCTGCTGCAGACTCTGGGAAGCCATGTTGCACCAACTCCCAGTACTCCTTAGATCTCAAGAAGTTCTCCATAAGCATAGCCCAGTGGTCATAATGACCATCAAATTTTGGTATGGCAGGCTGCACAAATGAGCTTTCTGATGACATTGCGTATGATAGTTAGAAGACTGGATCAGGCCCCGGATGGAGCTCTGATACCAGAATGTTGGGACCTTTCGCAAAGTTAAAATGCAGAAGAAGCAAATTGTACTCTCTTTTTTATTGAAGAAGAAGTTTGACTATTTTATAGCCTTACATATGAGAAATGACAAACAAAAAGAAACTGCTTATGCGCATAAACCGCACGACTCTGCACCTAATATTGCGGTTGAATTATTCAAAGCTAACTAACTGAACTTAAAATGTGGAAACACTAACATATTAATGGAGAAGATGAATAGTTAATGAAAAAAGAGAAAGTCATAATCCAACTTTATTTTTAATCAAAAAAGGTCATTAAAAAACACGGATATTTAAACCTAATTTGTTTTCAAACCTCTATCATACAAGTTTTTTTTAATAATAAAATAATCATAAAAATCAATTTAATTTATTATTATGTATCATTTTCCTTATATATTATTAATAGACTAATATGTGTTCATAAGGAATTGTTAATTTTTTTAATTTTATTTTTATTAAACATAAGAGTTCGTTAATACAGTTAATTAGTTGTTGAATAATTTATATGTTCATCTTATATGTAGTGATTGGTGTCTAAATACAGTTATATATCTCTATTCCTCATCAAAATAGCTTCATGTGTTGTCTTGTCTTGTCTTCTCTCTTGAATTCTCTATCTCAACATGTATGAAGAGACACACACATTGCTTTCGACCATAGTTTGCTTGATTGTTCTCTGTCAGATTATTGCATCTTCGTTCTTCTCTCACCTTCAAAAACTTATTCATCCATCTAACGCTCCCCAACTGATCATGATGTTTCAACCCATCACAGATGACAATTACAACACAGAATTTATCTTCTCCCTTCTTGAGACTCGAGTCTTAAAACGCTAAACTCATTGAATTAAGAAGCAAATATTTTACCAAAAAAAAAAAACTTAATTTACGCTTCCCTCTTGTGTACGCAAGAATGGCTCTGGTGGGAAATTGCTCAACTAGCACATATAAATTTTTTTATACTTTTTGATGAAGTAAAAAAATGTGCACAGGATCTTTCAACAAATCTTGTGTTCAATTGTATTGGTGAATTAGCAATGGGAATCGGAACTCTCTTTTCCCGTACACGCCCTTCTTCTCTTTGGATCTGACAACACCACTGCATGCTGTACTGAGTCATGTCCATGTCTTAATGCAAAAAATGTCCTCGGTTGGATGTTTCACACTGAGAAAATTGATCAACCCATGCAACATTTTTCAGATCTCAACGCTTAGCATCAAATTATTTAATGTTAAACAATTCGACAATTTCAGACTAATTAATGTTATCATCGAGCACCTAGTGCCACCTGCCACGGCTTTTTTTCCGCGTCCTGTCAGAAGAAAGGAAAAATAAAAATGTGATTGGTGATGATAACATAAAATTTAGAAAAGTGAAAAGTTGATGTGTGTAATGGCAAGGAGTGAAGTCAAAGAGGGGTGTTTCCTGGCTTTTGAATCTTTTGGATTCTTTATTGGTCCCTCGTGGTGTAATGGATGTAATCCGATCCGAGTCAGAAATGGAGAAAGAGTGCAGTGACCTTCTCTTCATGCAAGGTGGGGTTAAGAACCTAACTATTTGCTCCGTTTAAAGTAACCATTAGGCTATCATCAATGCCATCACCATCACCATCACCATCAAAATCAAGATTCACTCACTGAAAAACCTAATCACCATCCAATCTTTTATCATATTGCTTCATTTTATAAATCTTAAATAAAGTGATCATTGTTTTAACTTTGATCCTTACCATACAATCCAGCGTATCAAAGAAAGTGAGACTCTTGGTTTCATGATCAAAGGCAAACTGGCAACAACCATTTGCTTATAAATTCAATCATTGCCCATATTGGCTGGGAACTTACTGTGACCACATTATGAGCTACTAAAGCATTTTCTGACTAGTTTATTCTGAACTCACTTTTTTATTACTTTTCAGTTTATTAGGCAGTTCATAGTTTAGAGTGGCCAAAATATGCAACCGACAAAGTCCATTGAGCCAGTGCAGGACTCCAACTTGCCATCATCTCTTTAGCTTTTGTATACAACACTTATTATTATTATTGTAAGAGTATGCTAGCTACTTTGTCTAACATTTTCTTCTGACAGATATATTATTGCTTGTTAAAACTTACAAAATCGTAAGACTGATAATAAAAAAACTTGTTTCATAGAAGGTACTAAAACTGTGTTATTAACATTGTCAATTAAGAGGTTTTTTTTATGTTATTTTAATTTTTAGGTTTTATACTTGTAACTGATTCGCCATATTTTTTTATGAAATGAATTAGGACTAACATTTTATTTTGATGACCCCCTGTAACTTTTCCTACCTCGGAAAGATCACTAAGCAAAAGCTTTGAGATAAATCATTGCGTGAATTAAAGTTAATTAACCCACTTCGAAAATTTGTGTACGTTTTGAACTTTTAACAAGAGAAGAAAAGAAAAAAGGTATCTGTTTTTAGTTCATCCAATAATAATCCAACAGTTCTCTGGTACTGGGCCTAATGGGTTGGTAGGTGTTGGGCCATCCTGGAAGCAATATATTAATCAAATCTGATATAATGCCCATCGCAAGATACTTTCATCTTTTCATTTTCTTTTTTCACCACTTTTTGACTTGAAGATAATTATGTCATACCTAAGGCCTCAAAATTCGAATAATATGTACTCATTCATGCAGTAAACCTGTCAAAATATTCATTAAGAACTATAATTTCGAGAGTTATTTGAATATGTCATTATTATTAATGTTGAAGTACTCAAGATTAACAAAGTGTGTACATAGTGGAAATTTTTCAGTAGAGAGAATTCTGCTCTATGCAAGCTAGATGGAAGATACGGCACTTGCAATGGCCCAAATGTACATAAGATTTAGAAAAACTAGCATTGCTCATAACTAACAAAAAAGTGAAAATGAGAAGAAGAAAGCTGGGGCTATGATAGAATTTTCTTTTAGTAAAGCCAGTTGGAACACGTGTGGTACTAATCATGATTAGCACTAAGCCACTCCTTGAGAGCAATGATTCATTCCATCTTAGTCTCCCCCACATAGACATCTTCAACACTCACACACTAGAAACTTTTATAATCTCCTGCATCTTTTTATTGCTTTTATCTCTACACTCATAATCAATCAATGTGCATGGGCTAGCTGATCTCTAAGATTAAGGAAGAGAATAGGGCAATGGTGGGCCACCCCGCTCGTGCACTGCAGCTAGCCATGGCCCATCAGAGCCTACAAAACTGATGATGAAGTTGAACCTTCATAAAGGCAATTGGTGAGAGAGAATTATTAAGGAAAAAGGCTGATTACATGTGAACTAAGCAAGGTCCCCACCAAGCTCATTCACGTTCAGTACCTTGCTGACAAAAAAGTTTATATAAGGAAAGGGAAGCTACACAAGAATGTGAAAGGGTGAATTAAAACAAGCACTTCTCTCCTACCTATATATCTTTGCTAACTTAGTCTGTTGTCTTCCCCACAACACTTGAAGGGAGATAACAATGGCTTCTGAGAAGGTTGAGACTGTTGTTGCAGGGAACTACCTAGAAATGGAGAGGGAAGAGGAAGGGTCTAAGTCTACAACTGGCAAACTATCTAGGCTATTTTGGCATGGTGGCTCTGTGTATGATGCATGGTTTAGCTGTGCTTCTAATCAGGCACGTACTCTCAAAATCACCACTGTTTTTCCTATAGATTCTTTTGGTGTAGCAAGGGTCTCATAATTTATTGTTTGTTGGATTTCATTTAGGTTGCACAAGTGCTACTGACACTACCATATTCCTTTTCACAACTGGGGATGTTATCTGGTATCATATTTCAGCTTTTTTATGGACTGATGGGAAGCTGGACTGCTTACCTTATCAGTGTCCTTTATGTTGAGTACAGAACCAGGAAGGAGAGAGAAAAAGTTGATTTTAGAAACCATGTTATTCAGGTGATTGTAGTCTCTCTCCATTCTATTCCTGCCCTTGAATAAATCAACCTAGTGGTTTACTTTAGATTCTTCTAATCTTGGATTCTTTTCACCGTTTGCAGTGGTTTGAAGTGCTTGATGGACTTTTGGGCAAACACTGGAGGAATCTTGGTCTTTTTTTCAACTGTACTTTCCTGCTGTTTGGATCAGTAATTCAACTAATTGCTTGTGCAAGGTAGGAATAAATAGATCACTTTTGAATATATGATCTTCGTATGTATATTATAAACTAAACACTTACATATGCAACAAATGTTTCAGTAACATATACTACATAAATGACAATTTGGACAAGAGAACTTGGACTTACATCTTTGGCGCATGCTGTGCAACAACGGTGTTTATCCCTTCTTTCCACAATTACAGAATCTGGTCATTCTTAGGCCTCATGATGACCACTTATACTGCATGGTATATGACCGTAGCTTCCCTTACCAACGGCCAGGTAAAGGACTCACTATATACAAGCCTCATCATCAGCATAAAAACAAATTATATAGTCAATGCTATACATGTGATTTATTAATATTTTTGCTGTGTTCTTCGATTAATATTCTACATGTTTCTGAAGGTCGAGGGGGTGACGCACTCAGGGCCAACCAAATTGGTTCTCTACTTCACTGGAGCGACCAACATTCTCTATACTTTCGGTGGACATGCTGTTACAGTGTGAGGACTCGAAATCAAATTGTTATAGTTATAATATAAAGTTTTTTTCTCGTAAAGAGTTATATGATGTTTGAGAGTTAAACCTTGTCCTAGGTTTTAATTAGTATTGGGATTGAAAATTTACTATATAGTCCCAAAAAAGTTGTATAACTTCATGTGGTATGTATATGTGAATCTGACAGACATGGATTGACTTCATATTGTAGGGAAATTATGCATGCAATGTGGAAGCCACAGAAGTTCAAGATGATATATCTGATCGCAACCCTATATGTGCTGACCCTAACTTTGCCATCAGCAGCTGCAGTTTATTGGGCATTTGGGGATCAGCTTCTTACCCATTCTAATGCCCTTTCATTGCTTCCAAAGACAGGCTTCAGAGACACCGCTGTCATTCTCATGCTCATTCATCAGGTTATAATTATATAATTACTGATATCCTTACTATTTCTACTCCAAACTAAAAAACATTTATAAGAACTTTATTTAGCTTAAAAAGTAACTTCTTTTGTATAAGCTCTTGTCGTCTTATTTCAGCAAGTTTTACACAAAGTAATTATATGAATAAATATGCGTGATTTATTTACTGCTGTGGTCCTCTTTGCAGTTCATTACTTTTGGATTTGCTTGCACTCCTTTATACTTCGTGTGGGAGAAATTCATTGGGGTGCATGAGACCAAGAGTTTGTTAAAAAGGGCGTTGGCTAGACTTCCTGTTGTGATTCCAATATGGTTCCTGGCAATCATATTCCCTTTCTTTGGTCCCATTAACTCAACTGTTGGATCTCTTCTTGTCAGCTTCACTGTTTACATAATTCCTGCCTTGGCTCACATGGTGACCTTTGCTTCAGCACCGGCTAGGGAGGTTAGACATGCACTTACTTAGCTGCAAGTGATTATTTCTTAAATTTATGTATGCTGCACCATGCAAAGCTACATTTAGTGCTTACTACACATTTATCATTCTAGTTATTCATAAAGTATATAATGATTTCCTGTTCATTTTTGGTTTTATTTTGTTTGTTTACAGAATGCTGTGGAGAGACCACCATCAAGGTTAGGAGGTTGGGTAGGATTGTACTCCATGAACGTGTTTGTGGTGGTATGGGTTTTGGTGGTAGGATTTGGGTTGGGAGGATGGGCAAGCATGATTAATTTCATCCGCCAAATTGACACGTTTGGGCTATTTGCTAAGTGCTATCAGTGTCCTCCTCACAAGGCTTAAGTATAAGTAGCTCCTCTAGTTTCATGTGATACTTTGAGATCATACATGCGTGTAAAGAGATTGGCTTTTAATTTGTACCTTTTTCTTTTTTTTTTCCAACTATTCCCCTTTATTTTATTTTATTTTTTTATTGTAAGAAGCCAAGTCTTTTGATTGTGTCAGCTAAAGGTGCGATGGCACGTCACGGCCACCCCCTATACGAACTTACAGTTAGAATTTCGTGTGCTGCTGATTAATCATTTCTTGTTCTGCAACTACCTTGCCATATGCTACACTTGATTTGTGTTCCTCTCTCTCTATCCCCTACGTAGCTACATTCAAGAAGAACAAATAAACGAGTACAAACCAACTTTTCCCATTTTGGCTTCAAAGGAAAAGATTGATGGGAAACTGTGAGATTTACTTTTTCATTCTATCAGTACAATTGTAATGATGAAGTTTAAACCTATTAGATTCATTTTAAGCATCACACGCAATCGCAAAAAACATGAACCATAGCAATGGCTATCAAAACCTACCTATGATATAGTTCACAAAACTATGTACATGAATTTCGTAACCAATGAAGAAAAGTACACCTACTTTGAGGTTTGTTAAGGATGGAATTGTGGTATAGGAAGATCCAGAGAGACAAGACGTAAATGGAAATTGCATGCATGATGTGGTGAATAGGGTGTGAATGTATCATCTTATCTCATCCTCTAATCTCGGAAGCTTTTGTGAAACCCTTTGCTTGCAAAATTGAAAAGGTGCTTTCTCTTCAAATTGATTGGGTAGCTAGCTAGCTGTCGTGAAAGGTGAAGTGTGAGAAAATATTAGGCAACTGTAAAATGCAAAATCTTCTAAATAGTTCGTGATGGACCACAAACTCTTCCGTCATACCTATCATTACGCATCGATAGTACTATTCGGACACTTATCACTTAAACTTAAATTGGCTTTTGCCTAATTTGATGCATCTTCTTTGTGTGCTATGCCAAATGACAAACATAATGACCAAACAGCTGTTTCAAACTTTACCAACTAGTTATTGTCTTCTTCTTTTCTGCTCTTTATAGGGACACATGTATATTTATATAGTCATTGAGTGAATATGCCCTGGAACTATGTAAGTCATCAAATTCTCTTCAGACGAATATTTCAGATGGATAACTACAAATTAAAGAAATTGCACGGCAAAATTTACAGTGATATATACCTACAAATGTCTCAAGTAAAAATAGAATTTCACAGTTTTTGTTGTCATCATCTATCTATACTTGCATGCAGTAAAAAACTCTATCTATACTTACATAAAATTTTCCAGGTTAAAGACCACATGAAGACAATAAAATAACTTTTTATTCTCCTTTCAATAATGTGAAAGACTTTTTCATGTACTTCCTTTTTTTTTTCCCCCTTTTTATCTGTTACAATTTTTCTCGTGAACAAGTATTATGAGTATATAAATCTTAATTTTCTTAAAAGTGAATATTATTAACGTAGGAAATAATATTTTGAGAAGTATGTACCTTAACGAGAATGATTATGAGATTATATCATCTTTAATATTAGAAGTTAATTTTAATTGATGGGCATAAAATAACATTGTGTTATTCTTATAAATTTATTCTCATCCAACGACAGTAGGTTTTGAATAAGTTGATTTATAATTAGTGTTTACACGCCTAATTAACGGTTTAATCTATTATTATCACGGATGAAAATTTTTACAGGCTTATAGTTTCGTTATATTTTAGTTATTTTTTTATGAATAATATTTCATTAAACCCTTAATCTTTCTTGGATATAATAATCCTTTTCTTTCTACACAAATAATTGGAGGTTTAGGACAAATTTAGAACGTGCTAAAGAAATTTGAAGGATTTGTAAGAAATGAAGTTAGGATGGAAAAAGGACGGAGGAAATCTTGAATTTTCAAAATTTATTTTAAATTAGATCTTTAAATGATATTTGATTAATTTATAGAATTTATTAGTTAAAAAAATGAAATTTTTGAGATTTTAGGTAAATAAATCAATGGAAAGATTTAATTGGTATAATAATAGAAAGTGGAACAATTAAAAAAATGTATATAATTAAAAAAATCGCATTAAGAATAAGAATAAGGTTAAATGTGGAATGAAGTCAAAAGTTGATATGATGTCACGGAAACAAACCAAATGGGCCTGGGCAAAGTAGATGGCCCCAACTCCTGGTGGGCCTACCATATCGTCCTTGGTTTCGTGCCTAAAGATACCTATGATGATGAAGAGTAAAATGGCTACAACGTGAATAAAAGTATCGATAGCTACCTCATCCACATGCAATGCTCTATTTTTTTACCTTTCAAATCTGAGTCTTCACCTTAACCAAGGCTATGAACATTAGCATTGTATAGCACGAATTTTTTAGAGTCTAAATTATTATTTAAAATTTAAAGCTGAAACTTTTGAATAATCTTATAATTATTCAAAATTTCTTAAAAATTTATTTTTTTATTCTTCTATTAAAAAAGAGAAATAAAACATAAGTTGGATTAATATGAGCTTAAATTATGATATATTGAAGGTCTAATCCAATAAAAGCTAGAATGAGTGTCACGTGTATTAATATGGGAAGAAGTGAAGGCACATGGGTAGAGATAAGAAGTGGAGGGTACAATATATGAAGTATTTTTTGAGCATTCGTAAAATAGTGATTAATAAGAATTGCTTATAAATAAAAATAAATATTTTATTATGAATTTTTTATTTGAGTTGTTTAAAAATATAAAAAAAAAATTATTTAAAATTGAAAGAAAGTTGCTTCTACGAATAACCGACCGTGAAACTCAATTTTCTGATTAAAAATTGCCTTGCCTTATATGCTGCTAAAGACCATGAGAGTGGGGAATGGGAGAAGCTGAAAATTTTGTGGAATAGTAAGAAATGAAATGAAGGTAGGGATTGCGTGGTCCGAGTAAGAAGAAGGAAGACATGGTGGGGATAATCACAAGTTCACATTTTCTCAAGAACTTTCCAAGTCAAGGACTGTCATGTAGTTCTCACAGAATGTTTCAATTATTTTTGTTGTGGCCTCACCAGAACGGATCATTGAATGTGGTGATTCTTGAGTTGGTGTTTGCTTTTGACCAGCCATCTAATCAAACCAATGTCAAATGGGTGGACCCTATTCCTCGAGTGCCAGCAGCGAAAGTCACTTTAAAAAAGAAAAAGATGGTTCTCTATAACATGATCAGGATGGGGGCAGAAACCAGAAAGAAAAAAGAAGAAGAAGAGAAAGATAAGGGTCACAAAAAAGGTTAACCAACTTCAAACCAATCCAGGAAGTTAAAGGGCAAAACATCTTCTCCAATTGATATTTCATTTATTGATTATAGTTTTGGAAAAATAAATAAACCAAAGTGATACATATATGCTTAATGAAAATAAATAATTTATTTATTATATGTGTGTGTTTGGCAACGATAAATGCAAGCATCCAAAGACTAGTGGTTAGAGGTTTGACAGTGTTCGGAGTTGTTGGATGCTTAAGAGGGATGAAAATGTTGATGAGAGCCAAGCATATCAAACACCACTGCTGGACAAGGCACACATGCGCGGGTCCGAATTATCACCTTGTCACCCAGACACAATTTCTGATGCGATAGCAGATACACGCGTTTTCTATCTTCATATTATAGGTAAAAATCAAACCCTTCATGTAAGTGCTTCATAATACATATATTACCCTTGTTTAGATAGATAGCATTGATGAATGTTTGATTTTGCAAATTCATGGAATTGGTCCTCTCCAACTCCAAGTCTCTGGTACAGTTATATGTGTATGAATGGTTATTGATTACTACTCCCTTCAAACTTGTTGAGCTGAAGAGTGGAAGTGGGATTATAATGCATTGCAAATGGGCGTGACATTACTGTGATAAACTCAATAATTGTTTGTGGATATTATAATACGTGGGAATCACGCTTAAAATTGACTAAAGCGATCCGGCAAGAAGAATTAGATGGGACTTGTATTGGTTTGTACTAATATGAAGTTTTGTATGTTCATCATTTGTAGAATATGATTATAATGATTTGGCAACTACTCACACGTCGCAATTGTTCTTAATGTGGACACCAGCAAAATGATGTTAAAGAGCTTCCAAATGAGTAAACAATCAAACAGGATTGGCCCTACCTACTTCTATCCCTGAATTTTGAAGGCTAGAGAAACTAATCAAGTGATCAATGCATGGAGTATTATGGGTCAATGGTCAAAATTAATGCCAATTCCCATGTGGTGTGGTGTGGTATGGTAGTTTCAAAGCAATCAATAAATGTGTGAATTATTTATTCCAAGGTTTTGGTTCCCACGATTTGTCATTGTCAACATAAACCTTGCACTCCAAATTCACATCCTTCATTCCTTAGTTCTTTCTTGTGTACATACCCACCTACATACGTATACAAATCTAATCATGGGTTAAAGTTGTCATGGCCCAAGTAACATTTTGGAAACTTCTCAAAGCAAGTGAAAACACAAGGTGTGGTGATAATGGATAATTGTAAACGCAATCCAAGGCAATCTTAATATTTGTAAATACATTCTATCTCTCAAATCAATATATATAGTATGAACCAGCAATGTAATTATATATGAAAAGAGTGTGTGCCTAATGTTATTTTCTGTTATAAAATTTAGATGTTGGTTAGTTTCAACTTAAACTCAATTAAGAGATTATTATCGTGACTAAAGCTGGGTCTACTTATTGACCTGATTTGGAGATAAAAAAATATTGTGTGACGATGGCTTAAATAGTGTAATAAGATCCTCGCGTGGGTCCTTAACCCAAAACGGACATTCTCGTCCCTCAATTTTGTAGTGCGTCCATTTGATTTGACCGTATTGACCTAAAACAAAAATAATAATTTATGATGATAAAACTTTGAAAGGTGCATATATGTTTGAGCACAAAAAAATATATCTATATTTCATTTAGTCTGCGATTGAGATAGTAATGTCTGGAGTACTTTCCAGTTAAATGTGATTGAATATATTTTAAGTCTTTTTCTGAAGAAATATATAATATATTCTAAATATTTGTTATGAAATATTGCAATCAAGATATTAAAGGCGATTCTTTTTAAAGTATAATCATTAGTAATTTATCATATAAAATTATATTATGGGGGTGTGGGGTGGGATATGTATTAGGTTACCAGTATCGCTCTCATTTCCATCATTTTTTACGGTAAAAATCAAATTCAGAATGTTATTACTTGACAACATTGTACTACTTCAAGCTTCTGAGATGCAATCGTATAAATAAAGATATATTTTAGCATACTTTAGAATGTTATTAAAGATATATTTGTACATTTTTTTCTATTAAAAACATGTTAAAAAAATAAAAATATTTGTTCTATGCGATAAAATTAACTTATACATACGTTGAAAACAATTTTTTTAAATTATACATATTTCTTTATAAATTAATTTATACAATATTATTTAAAGGTGATTAGAAAGAAAATTATACCAAGCATATTATTAATTTATAATATTATTTTCATTTCTCCCAAGGAGATTCAATTATATATTGGGCCTCAAAGTGCACGAGGAGGCGTTTGATTGGTTGGGTTTGGGGGTCTATTAAGATACATTAACTCAAGTTTTTGTTACTCTTTGGGCTTTTTGAAATAAAATCATTGTTGACCCAAACAAATATCAGTAACACAACCCCTCCCCAGAAGAGAACGAAAGGTGTCAGATACTTTATAGATTCACACTTCCCAGTTGGAGACCTACTAACATTTTTCAATTATAATTTGTAAAACAAGCTTATATTTCACTCATATCATGATAACACAATCCAACATTATTTTACAATTCGATCCCATCATTTTTTGTATATTCCCTTTAAAAAAACAACATACAAATTAAAAGAAAAAATATAATCAATATTTTTATTTATATTAAAAATAGTTTTAGTTTTTACTATGATTTTACTATTATTTCTTTCTTATTTACCACACGTGTGTAAAATTTTTAAGAACTAACAAAATAAATTTATACCAAATAAAGAGAGTGATGTAATGTCCATATTGACACTTCAGGTAGCGTAGAGTGAAGAAATAAAGACATTCAAAATTCTCAAATAAGAAATATTAGAAGGTCTCTGATATGCATACATAATTAAACCCCTCCCTTTTAAGTCTGCTTATTTCATCATTCGACAAGGAACTACACATTGTCCCGCTTAGATTTCACTGACCCAATATACCCTAGACAATGTCAGAAATAAACATGGAAGACTTCAAAAAGCTAATGATTATTCAGTCACAAAAGTTAAACTTCGCATTTAACAAATGGTAAGACTTTACCCTCTTGATAAGATCGAAAGCGACAAAGTGGAACTGATATTGACTATCCATCGTCAATCTTTACAGAGTTTGATGCTGATAGTCAGAAATTCTCTTACCAACAACAAGAACGTTAATTTTTGTTTACTAGTGATGAACACGAAATTAAAGCACCCAAAAAGACCAATTCGATAGATTAGAATAATAAACCACTCAGTTGACAGAATCTTTGCTTCAATATTGATGGTGATAGATTTAAAATCTACAAAACAAAAAGAGAGTAAAATCCAAAGCAATACAATAAGAACGGAGAAAATGTCACTTCTAATATTCAACACTAGATCTTAGCATTCATAAATTTTGACCAATTAACGTACCTATATCAACCATAAATCCAAAATCATGACCAAAGAAAATTCGTGAACTGATAGATATTGATCAATCTATAAGGTATAACAAAGAAAGGCATGAATTCAAAGTGATGGTTAGAAGAAAAAGAAAAACCAGAAGTTCAATTATCAGGACCTACAAGATCGAAACAGTCTTCAAGTATTATAAAATCTCCGTTGTCTGGTTCCTAATTAAGCAAAGAATTAATGGCGTATGGTATATTAAACATCGAACGTATCTAAATACCACCGAGTCAATGTCGCCCTAGACATTCACGCACAACAGGGAAAATCATTACCCGTTTCTAAACCATGCCAAGCTGGCAGTATAATAATATTATCAAACAAATGTACAATATCACCACCAAACTACTACTCATTATTCTTCACGCCAAGTGGAAAATATTAATGGTAGTCAAAAGCCACTTGTGTTTCATGCCACCAAAATTACCAATATACAAATTGATGACCCTACCTATTATTACATAAGGCATCAAACAACTTAAAACACATTTCGGAAGCAACAATGAGAACTAGAATACATTATTTTTAGGTGGATAATGGATGAAACAAAAGAAAGGAAAATGCAAAGATTTTTCTAACAATTATCCAAAAACCAAGGGGCAGAAGCAACCCACGATGCTCTCATGCAACCATCAGAATGTATGAAATGGGACAACATATCAACTTCTCGTGAAACAACGTTGCTAACTTTTTTTCATATTCACACAACATCGGATAAAGCATATATGTCATGATTATTAGCCACTGATCTGACCATTATATATCCTTATTAAAAGTGTGATGTAGTATTATCATAAAAAAATAAAAATTAAAGGCATGATTGTGGTTTAAAATTGGAACGAAACTGTCACTGCAATATTAAAGTTTTAGTTGTCACAGATATTTTTGTAACCAAAATTGAGACTGCATTTATTCACAACTTTTCACAGTATTAAAGTTGATATAATCTCTGCCAGTAAAACCTTAAATAAACAATAAAGTAATGCCTTAAATGAATAATTAAGGAAAAAACACATCCACAACATTTATTATGTTCATGAATAAAGATCAGAAATGACAACATATTATCCACACACAAAACTAGAGGACAGAATAGACTAGATTTACTCATCATATATTTCAAGGTAGGACCACTGCGTAAATGCCCCACTGCCTATAAAACAGATAAGATCTTGCCTCACAATATTTGCCTGAATTACAGAGGAAAATTCACCTTCTTTCAATCAACTACTGTAGACACTCCTTTGGTAATTGCAGGGGAAAATAATCCATTTAAAGCATAGATTCTTTTTCGGTGTAAAATATGCATGTAGACAAAATAATAGATGATGCACTAACAATATTAAGAGTACCCTGCCGCTTTATAAAAAAATTATTAGTTAATGATTTTTTTATTTAGTTTTACAATAATTAAACATCATTAACATTACTTTTGATAGATTAGTAATGTCAAATTGTTTCACACCCCATGAGGATAAAGACAAACTTATAAGACCATATCAGTGAGACTCTGACATTTGCTTCAGACTGATCAGAATGGCAGGGTTGTCATGCAAATACAGGTAGTTCGAGGACAAAGCAAAGAGGCGAATGCAATATGTTGCTGAATTACTAATGTCATAAATTAGCCATTAATTATGGCTTCCCTTGCTTCATATTCATCAGGAGGAACAACCATAATCACTTCTTCAAAAGAACCGCATTAAATAAAACAATTAGCCAAACCTGCAAAACATATTTGGAACAAATGCCAATGGCTAGAAACAAAAATAACAGACCCATGTACCCAACCCAATTAACAATAACAGACTCACAATTCAATAGAAGAAATCATAATTCATAAACCCCACATTCTCACTAATTTTTCATTTCCCAACGTTTGGACATTCCCTCGCAAAATGCCCTTCCTCCCCACAGTTATAACACCCTCCTCCTCCTCCTCCTCCTCCTCCGCCACCACCCCCCCAACCCCGCCCCCTCCACCACCGCGTTTCCGTATCCTACCATCACCACCTCCCCCACCACTACCACCCCCACCGCCCTGTCCCTGGTAACAATCCCTCGCCAAATGACCTATTCTTCCACAATTATAACAGCCAGGTCCTCCTCCTCCACCACCCCCGTAACCTCCTCCCCCTCTCCGTCCGATCCCTCCGCCACGGCCTTCCCCGCCGCCGTAGCGTCCTCTTCCTCTCCCGCCCCCTCCGCGAAATCCGCCTAGACTGCGAGATCTAACGGCGGCAGAGGTGATGTCGACGGCCATGGGGCGGCCGTCTGCGCCGTAATCGATGAGGAACTCGACGGACTGACCCTCGGACAAGGAGCGGAAGCCGTCGGATCGGATGGAAGTGAAGTGAACGAAGAGGTCTTCTCCGCCATCTTCGGGTGTTATGAATCCGAAACCCTTCTGATCGTTGAACCACTTAACGGTGCCCTTGGATCTCCGATTGTCGGCCATGGCTCCTGTAGAGGTGAAACGGAAGGAATAGAAGGTTCTGGAAGAACCTAGAAGTTTCTTTTTGGGGTTTGGGAAAGCTTAGGATGCTGAATTGGAGGTAAGAGGAGTGTGCGGCGATTGTGATTCGTCCATTCCCGCGGAATGCTGATGTGGTATTGTATGGATTTTGCGTCAGGGAGATGGGAAGGAAATAAAAGTGATATATTAATATAGTTTGTTGGTTTTCAACTCGCGGGTGGGACCCATCCTCATCCTATTTCCTAATTTCTCTCTCTCTTATCCTCTCCATCCATTTTCTCTGCTTTATCCAGATGCATTATTCACACCACACCAATGCTCTGTACACCACTACTACTCTTTCTTTGGTGTTACCTTCATACATAGGCTTTCTTTTAGTGCATTGGTGTAAATTTTTTTTCTTTAAATTACTTGACATATTTTTTAAATAATTACAAATTAGATAAATTATATTTGTATAGACGATTTTATTTTAAAGAAATCATCTCATATATATATATATATATATATATATATATATATATTAAACAAATGACATTTTACGATCTCAGATTATTTTTTTTAAAAGATGTTGTTTGTCAAAATAGGAGTGTTTTTACTTCTGAGCTTGAGGTAGTTTTTCATTTGTTCATTACATTCTATTAGCTGCATTTTGCACTTCTTAAATAATTAATCTACGGTGTACACAGTTGAACATTTTTTTTTAAATTGCTATAATAGAATTCATCTGTCCGAACCTTTTAAATTTGGTGAGAAGTGACCCTAGAATCCTTTATGTATAAACATATTTGCAAATTATATTTTAATTTTTATATATAGTCATCTAACAGAAGCTTCAAAGTTCAAACTTCAAAATACTGTTAGAAGAAACATCAATTTTGGAATTGTCTCGTAAGGAAGCTCATTCAGATAACAATCTAATGCAACTTTTTACATCCCATTCCAGATTGGATCATATCTTATGGGCTGCTTTGGTGTGGTATCCAAAGGAGACATATCTCAAGTGTTAGAACATCTAGCTATAGCAATAACTGGTTATTATTAATAACTGGTTACTTGGGAAGCCTTACAAGTTACAACCTTCAGTGGTTGGAATCAAAAAATGGTTGAACTCAATGTTCCCTGGCATTGGCTCTTCGCTTCACTTGACAAAAAAAAAATTTTGTTTAGAATTTATTTCCTAGTAGATGAGTTGATGATTTTACTTCCTCGTAATGGCTCAATTGATAAGATGAATTTGTTTTACAATTACAATTTTTTTCAGGTTTATTTGTTGTTGCCTATTCAATCCAGGTGGGCATTGAAACTGCTGACGATCTCAGGTGGCTTCTCAGCAGGCTGAGTAATCGTTCAGGAAAAGAAGCTAATAAGATCAACTGCAAAGTAGACAACTACCATCGTCAGTTGATAGGTATGGTGATGTTCTTGGTAAGAGGGCATTAGTAAAGGCTGAATTCAAGCACGGTGGTAATGGTCCTCAGTTATGGTTCGCTTCCATGGTTGAAACCATGGGTGTGTGGATTAGATGGCTCTTAGCAACGCTCAATGGTCATGGATTGGAAAAGCAGGGTTGTTTAAATGGATTCCGTTGGGACTTTGATTGCCAATGTATCAACAGCTTGTATAATGGCTGCCCTTGCCAGTGTGAAGAGTGCGGTAATTTGTCATCACTCATGCTAAAGTTCCCCCTGACTGCTTTCTCCAATCTCTAAGCTAGATGTCATAGACTCAGGATTCGAACTATATTTGACAGTAAGATTTACCTGTGTTGAGAAGTTAGCTTTCTTGTTCAACTTCTTTGGAGAATACCATGATTAATTCTTGTCCTTATTTCTGAGATATATTACATAAATCATAACCGTCATTTACTTGCTTGATGCAGATGAACGCCAGAGATTGTGACTGCTGTGGCAGGAATACAGTTTGGCCCAATTGGGTGTTTGAGCACTCTCTTTTTTTGCTGCTGAGTTTAATGCAATGAGAGAAAGCAGTCATCCTTGGAAAGCCTATGCCATCATTAGTGTGTTTCATTCTCTTTGGGAATATTAATATACCTATTTCAGTTTGGACAAAGGGGTTTGCCTCTAACACGTACCAATTGAATAAGACAATCTTGTTTTGACACTTCATATGATTGAAACGTCCCAGTTTCACAACAACTTCCCTCCTGATTTTAAAGACAACGGATTGTTTTTGTTGAGAATGAGTCCGCAGTTCAGAGAAGTAAAGTAATGTATCTATACTAGTCTTCAAAGTGAGATCTGTCAATATTAGGATTGCGTGTGAAACAAGCTTGGAGAGAGGTCAAAACAGCTACCAAAGATGAAAGAGCCACGAGTTTTGCCAAAAGGTAATTGGAGAATAATGACTCACCAATTCTTTCATTCATTTCTTCACCAGACATTGACTTTAGTGCACTGACAATTTTGACAAATAGACTTCTTTTATGCAATGTAGTAGAACTAATTTCTAGTAGCAAAGACAGTGCAACAGATTATTGATACAATGGAGATGATTGTGGAGGTTCCCTTGGTTTACAGTGAGTGATTCACCTTGGGAAGTTGCAGGAGATGATGAATATCGTAAAGGAAATATTCCACGGGCAATAAATTTCGCCAAAAAGATTACAAAACCATATTAAACATGGCACGAACGATTTCAATTTCAAGGTATGTATTGAAGAGAATACGCTTGTGGTGACGGCAGAGGAGGCATTCAGAGAGCACAAGAATTAAGTTAAAAGTAGAAAGAAGACCGGCCTGTCAATAGCTGATAGATATAACCACATGCTATCAAATGAAGAAAATTTGACCGTTGTCAAAATGTTGATCAAGATGTTTCTTTTTATTGAAACTTTTCTCCCGATATCCACACTGTTATTCATTATCTGTATGAAATTTATGTTGCTCCTGATGTCTGTATATGTTTGTTGTCGAGGTGAAGCCTACAACATATTGAGATCCAATACCTTTCTTTTTTTCACAAAGGCATCAAATACTACAATAATAAAAACTCATCAAGAGAATGTCAACTTCATATCATTTTGGTGCAGGCTGGTTGCATAGTCGCATCAAGAGAATAACTTGTTTCGATATATTCTAGTACCTCTTCAATGATCTTACACGATGAAATACAACTGAAGTGTGTAAGGAAAAAATCAGAAACATCATTGGTCAGCATTATTCCAAGCCTAAGGCCACTCAACCAGAGATGGTGGTGATTGAATAAGATTTTTTGCAAACGTCCCCAAGATGAGAGGCCAACCCCTGAATGAAAATTCATTTAACATCGGCAGAAGTATCATTTCTCTTCAGATTCTTGGAGCTTCAAGACACAAAAGATAGAACATTAACATCAGAGAAGTTGGAATCATATATCCTGGAGGTATTAAGGTACTCTACCTGTCGTTCTTTGCAACAAGATCACAAGAATTAACAAAATTTGATTCCGCAGCGAGGAAACAAACCAAATCTGGAACATCTTCAACTCCACATGCTTTGATATTTGAGTCAAAAAAGCAACAATAGAGTATCTCTTCCGTAAAAGTAGAATACATATTCATTTTAATAGTTTTTGTTACCAAAAATCCATGCAGGAACAAGCTCCATTCTTAAAGTGATGAAAGCGATGACGATCCCTCACCACAATTTCACGATCAAAAGCTTTAGAGATTAACTTTACAACAGTGTGGCAATCATTACATATTCGCAAGTTCTTCATAACTCTGATTGGAGTTGGTGGGGCAATAGTGACAAGTCCAAAGGCAACTGCAAGTTTCTCACTGTGCCTGAAAAGTGCAGTTTCCTTCTCTTCATCATCTATGTCTAGTGAAACCTCACTTGTGGTTGGTACATAGCCCTCAATCTTTAATTTTGCAGCCACTACATCTAACGTGTGCTCAATATCACTTATTTGTGGGTGTGTCTTATCTCCAGCCAAAAATTCATGAACTATCCCATTTGCTTCAATCATGCTACAACCGGGTGTCTTTACCACCCCATGTTGTGCCATAATTTCTCTAATTTCTAGAACATTGTCCCAATTTCCTTTTGAAGCATATATATTTGACAATAATACATGGAAACCATCATGATCAGGCTGAAGCTCAATAAGTTTCCTGCCCACCCTCTCCCCCATTTCATTGTCATGGTGTTTTTTACAAGCTCCGAGCAAAGCACCCCAAGTGGCAACATCAGGTGCCATTGGCATACTCTCAATCAGTTCCTCCGCTTCTTTAAGCAAACCTGCACGTCCTAAAAGATCAACCATGCATCCATAATGCTTAATATTAGGCTCTATTTTGTGCTCTTGGATCATGGAACTAAAGTAGTGACGCCCCTCATCCACTAGGCCCATGTGCCGACAGGCCCCAAGAACTCCCATAAATGTTATCTCATTAGGAAGTGTTCTAGTTTTTTTCATATCTGCAAACATGCTTAGTGACTCTTCCACCAAACCATTCATTGCCAACCCAAGAATGATTGCATTCCAGGTAGAAACCCCCTTTTCCTCCATCGCATAGAAAATCTCCAATGCATTTTCTACACAACCGCATTTCACATACATGTTTATAAGCGTCGTGCTCAGAATAATATTAACCTGTAATTTATTTTTACTTATGTAAGCATGAATCCATTTTCCCAAGTCCAAAGCAGCTAGATGGGTGCAAGCCGAGATGGCGCTGACTAAAGCAGTTTCGTCTGGCCTAACTCCATGAAGCTGCATTTCTTGGAACAATGCCAAAGCCTCCGAGAAATATTCATGTTGAGCATAACCCGATATCATGGCACTCCAAGACACAACGTCCTTCTCCGGCATGGAATAAAACAACTTCTCAGCATCTTCGATTGAACCACACCTCAAGTACCCAGAAATCATCGAGTTCCAAGATATCAGATCCAAGAGAACACCACCACCATCAAAAATTCTTTGCGCATCCAGTATCTCCCCACAAGTAGAGTACAAATGTATCAATGCATTCTTAAGACTAACATAATCCTCAACCCCAACTTTCGCCGCCAAACAATGCACCGACCTCCCCATCTCAGCATTCAACATTCGCGAACACGCCGACAGAACACTAACCACAACCACCTCGTCCACCGCCACCCCACTCGCCTTCATCTCCACAAACAAAACCAACGCCTCCTCACACATATCATTCTGCTCATAACAAGAAACCATCGCACTCCACGAAACCATGTCCATATCCCTCCCTCGAACCTCATCAAAAATCCGCCGCGCCTTCTCCACACACCCCTTCCTTCCAAAGAGCACAATCATGGAATTTGAAGCAATGGTGTTCCTCTCCGGCATTCCCCTATACAAACGTTCCGCCTCTTCCACATCGCCCGCTTGAACATACCCGGCCAAAACAGTATTCCAAGAGACCAAATCCATTACAGGACTTTCCTCAAACACCTGGCGCGCACTGGGCATGCTCCCACACACTGCATACAAGTTGATCAACGTGTTCCGGACGTACGCATCTTGATCAAAACCAAACCTCATGACATGTGCGTGCAGCTCCCTTCCCTCGAATTCGGACACCCGGGTAGCGCAGCATTGAAGGAGAATCGGGTAAGTGTAGTTATCGGGTCTTGCGTGCTTTGCAAGGAAGAGCTTGTAAAGTGAGAGTGCTTGGTGGGGGTTGTTTTGGAATTCGAAGTGAGCGCGCATGATGGTGTTCCATGTGAAGACGTTAGGATTCTGGAGATGGTTGAAGATTCGGAGGGAATAGTGGAAGGGAACGAGAGTGGAATGAGAGGAGAAGTTTATGAGTCTGCTTGCGGCGTAGGGGTCGCTGATGAGGCCGGTGATGATCGTTTGTGAGAGAATCTGTTTGAAGTGCCTCGGCCGTTTGCACCCCTGCAACGCTGCGTCTAACGTACACACCTTCATACTTCGTAAAAAAAATCTTTACGTTTGTATGCTTCTATTTGGACCACCCAAGTAACAATGTTTCCTCTTTTGCACTTCTACAATACCATAATTTGCGTTGCAGATTCCATATTGATACTGGTGAGAATCAGAAACTAATTTCTCAGTTTTCATGGCACCAAAATTAATTACTTTCTACATGTGAAAAGTGTTGGATATGGTATGGTATTGATGTCAATTTTATAATTCATTTTATTATTCTAATATTTTCTCACAAGTTATTCCACATAATCTATTACCAGTTATTTGTACGATGGATCAATCGATTCTTATTAATTTTATTTTTTTTAGTGTGTGAAAGGTTATTTGACTTTATCTACTCTAATTTTGATAGATTTAATGGTGTGGTCAATTTAGAATAAACGATACATTTAAAAAAAATGCTCCAGTAATTTTTATTTTCAATAAATATTCTTTTAATAATTTAAAAAAATCAAATTTATTGAAAGAGAGACATTAATTTTATCAAAAAGAGAAAAAGAAATTGTCAATATAAGTATTGGTTGTTATTTATAAAAAAATTATGTTGCAACCCACTAGCCAATCTAGTTCATCACAAGTTGAACCTGATGAGTAATATATATTTGAAGTGAGTTAAATCAGATATATTTTTATATAACTGAAATTAATATTTCTTTTTCTAACCCAACTTGGGACTTTTTTTCATAAATAATACTATTTTCATACACAACTAGCACCGTTTACTGTTCACGTAATAAAATAATATTATTTCGCGCAACTGTTTACTGTTCACTGTATTAAAATAATATTATTTCGCGTACTGAACTCTCGCTCAAGCGAAGAAAATCTTCGCTTGAGCGAGGAAACCTGTAACAAAGGGGTAATATGGGGGTAAATTCTCGCTCAAGCGAAGGTTTTATCGCTTGAGCGAAAAGTATGATCGACTATTATCCAATTATAGTCGATCACTTTGACACATATGACTTTAGATAGCGGTTATTTGGCCAACCGCTATCTAAACTACTACATTAGAAAGCGGTTAAAGCCTAACCGCTATCTAATATATATTTTTAAAAGCGGTTGTTATCAACCGCTATCTAAAGTGACTCAAGCGAAGAACACATCGCTTGAGCGAGGACAACAATCTTTTACAACAATCTTGAGCGAGGAAAAACACATCGAAAAACACATCGCTTGAGCTAGTCTCCAGCCAAATTCCAGCTGGGTTCCACTAGAATAGATGTTTTACAGACTCAACAATCTTACACCTAATCTAACACAAGAACCAACTTCCAGTTCTTGCACTTAACCTCTCCACCAAGAACCAAATTCCAGTTCTTGGAAACCTCTGCAACCAAATTCCAGCCACAGAGAACCCAGTACCCAAATTCCAGGCACCACACAGGTATAACCACAAGAACCAAATTCCAGCTCCCGTGCTCAACCTCTTACCAAGAACCAATTTCCAGTTCTTGATAACCTCCACAACCAACTTCCAACATGCAGAGAAAACTTGTGCCCAAATTCCAGGCACAACACAATACAAAGTAATGAAAAAGAATTTACAAAGAAGTTTGTTTTTAAAGAGAATTTTCAAATCTACTGCATTAATTAATCTGTTGAAAGTTTGTTTTAATCTGTTGAAATAGCCGTTATAATCTGTTAAAAGTCCTTTCAACCCATTAATGCGTTCTTGTTTCTTTAACAGAATGTTTTTAGTTGATACAACCATGTTTATATCAGTTAAAACATTTTACAAACATTTTCCGAGTGATTCAATCGATTGATTCGCGTTTTAATCGATTGATTTGCTTTAAAACTTTCTTATAAAAATTTTCAAGTTATTTTAACTGATACAAAGAAGTTTTAATCGATTAAAAACCTGCACAGAATTTTTCTAAGTTGTTTTAATCGGTTGAAACGCGTTTTAATCGATTGAAACTCTGTACAAAGATTTTCCAAGTTATTTTAATCGATTGAAATGCGTTTTAATCGATTGAAACTCTATACAAAAATTTTCAAGTCATTTTAATCGATTGAAATTCGTTTTAATCGATTGAAATAGGTCTGATCGGTCATAATTCAATTCTGATCGATCATAACCAGCTCTGATCGGTCATAATTCAATTATGATCGATCATAACCAGCTCTGATCGGTCATAATTTCATTCTGATCGATCATCCTGACTTCCAAAGTGGTTTTAATCGATTAAAAGAAGTTTGTATCGATTAAAATACCTGAAAATCAAGAGTCGAGAGACCTACACCTGCTTGTAGCCCTGAACTTGAGTAAGAGCATGGGTTCTGATAGATGACCAGGTCAAAACATCCAAATTTACTCGATTAGACCCTCAAGTTTTTTACTAGTCGGTTTTTGAACGTCTTCAATCTGAACCAAAGTCCCAGCTTGCCCAGATTGACGCCACCACCTCTCAAGAATCTTTCTATTTGGCGCGAAGTCTCAACTGAGACCCAGTTTGAATTTGCCAATCCACACAAGATTTAACCCACGACAATATCGAATAATGTCTTCCTGCAGCTTAGATGAAAGCACTCCACCCGCATCAGCCTAGAATCTTCCCAAGTCTATCACAAGTTTGAGCTACTCCACTGGTTTCACAATAAATGCTCGCTCAATTGCTTCCTTGAATCCCAAGGTGGCCACCATTTCTTTGTCCGCGGAATTACTTCTTCTATAGTCATAGGTGGCATTGGAAGGATGAGGACACCCATTTTTCCAGGTGTCCTCGCTCAAGCGATGTGTTTTTCGCTTGAGTCACCTTAGATAGCGGTTGATAACAACCGCTTTTAAAAATATATATTAGATAGCGGTTAGGCTTTAACCGCTTTCTAATGGAGTAGTTTAGATAGCGGTTGGCCAAATAACCGCTATCTAAAGTCATATATGTCAAAGTGATCGACTATAATTGGATAATAGTCGATCATACTTTTCGCTCAAGCGATAAAACCTTCGCTTGAGCGAGAATTTACCCCATATTACCCCTTTGTTACAGGTTTCCTCGCTCAAGCGAAGGTTTTCTTCGCTTGAGCGAGAGTTCAGTACGCGAAATAATATTATTTTAATACAGTGAACAGTAAACAGTTGCGCGAAATAATATTATTTTATTACGTGAACAGTAAACGGTACTAGTTGTGTAAATAAAGTTGCAGATGTGCTATTTTGGTAAATATTTTTGAAAACAGTATTATTTATGAAAAAAAGTCCCAACTTGGTGGATACATGGCATATAATTCGCAAAAAAGTACATAACATAAAATAACTTAAGAATATCACCACTTGCGTGAAATTGAGACAAATCTATAACTATATACAAATCCAGGTAACACAAATAGCAACTTTCTACACGTGTAATCACCACAATTTTTTTCAAAAAAAATCATAAACTAATTTTTTACAAAACATACCTATTTTGTACAAAAAGACAAACTGCTTCTTTGGGCCACAACAATACTGCAAGCCCATGCTTCTCCTCAGCCCAAATACTCTCTGAATATCTCATATGCTCTCATATGCTCCTTTGCGCCGTTTGCTGCAAGTCTTCTTGCTCTGCACATTTTCTTCGCTCTGCACGTCTTCTTTGCTGCAATCTTTCCTATTTTATGCAAGATCAGTGTCTCAAAAGAAGCATGAAATCTCTTTTGTTGCACGTCTTCCCTCAAGTAGTATTTCCATCTGCATGTTCAGATAAGTTATATTTTTTATCATGATTAGAGTTCAATATTGTCTTCTTTGACCGTCATTAGGGTTGTATCTAAGGTTTTGCGTTTAAATGTTACCGATTTTGTAAAAAAGGTTACTGATTTGCTTTGATCTAAGGTTTTTAAATTTAAAAGTTACCGATTTTGGAAAAAATGTTACTGATTAGCTTTGATCTAAGGTTTTTGAATTTAAAAGTTACCGATTTTCAATCTTTATGTTGTTTACCTTCAAGAGCGAAGTTGAAATTTTTTTCATGAAAAAAGTTTGCTTTTTTATCATCATTAGAGTTCAATATTGTCTTCTTTGACCGTCATTAGGGTTGTACATCTGTTTATACCTATTTCAGTATAGTTTTATGTAATTTTGCTTATTGATTTGCATTTAGCCCAAGCTGGAGGTATAAAAATTGTTGTTTTTTACATCATGACGGAAATACAGGATGTCAGATACATGAAAATGGTAATATCTTCCCTTTACAAAAGTTTTAATTCAGATTACTTTAATATTGTCAACATTTCAAATTTCAAATTTCAAATTTCAAATTTCAAATTCTAGAATACAGGCAACATTTCCCTCTTTCCACCATGCTTATAAATATACATCTGTGATGATAATATTTCTACGTTGAGTGGGTTATTCTCTATCTATTTTTTACATTCAGTTTGCAACATGTCTAATTTGCAAAAAAAGTATCACTCTGTTTCAGAACTCAGTGCTGAAAAAGAAAATTGGAATATATTGGCAAAGGTCATACGCCTGTGGTTTGTTTCAGATTTCACTAAACACAAATTGCCATTTTCCATGGACTTTGTCATGCAAGATATGAAGGTCAGTTTACCATGCTTTCAATACATTTTAAATAACACTCAATTGTGATTTCATTTTCTTAATGCAGGGTGACAGAATTCAGGGTTCTGTTAGGAGGTCTCTCATCTATAAATTTCAAAATGAAATTACTGAGGGGCGTGTGTACTCTATTCAAAATTTCTAAACATGATATGCTTAGAGGCTGATGGGTAAAGCTCTTTAACCCATTTATTGATGCTTAAGGATTTACTATAGTATAGTATAGTTTTTTTTTTAACATGTGTTGTTTTTCAAACTTAGTTTTAGAGTAGAGTGTACGTTGTTTGGTCAATATGTTGATGACCTAAATGCATTCCTTGCATCCGGAGATATCCAAAATCCTCGTCATAATCATACAATTCGGCAAAGTCAAAATCTTCCAAGGTAACTAATATATTGATGTTATAATTAGTTATAGTTAGTTACAATTATT